TCCGCACCGCAGCCCCTGGCCTCCCGCTCGCCGCCCGGGGTCACTGCCCTCGGTGCGCGCCGCCACCGCTTCCTGTCCCCGAGGGTCATTGCACAGTGCAATTGTGTGTGCCCCGCAAAGAGCCTGCCCACGCCGCCCTTCGCTGGCCCAGCAGCGAGAGATGTTCAAAAAAGGGAAAAGATCATTTCATTGGACGAGAAGTTCACGACATCCTTCCTTGGTTTACCCTTGTGTAAAGGAACACGTTAATGCAAAGAACAGGTCTGTCCCTGCCCCATTTTAAACATGAGAACGAACTCTAAACTGTTTCCCATCTAATGGTCTCCTTACTTTACATTAAATTAATCTCAGTCTATTAACATTTCCTTTTGGATTGATCACCTTTAGAGACCACCTCTTCCTCTCTCTTCATCCTCAAAGACGACTTGAGTCTTCGGGTCCATTGCAACCTGGTGCTTGCTACCTCACCCCCTAAGGCAGAGAGAACGCTCCAATGAAACCTTCTTAAACTCCAGGAGTAAAGTAAAGAAGCCATTGTTATTCATTTATGGGAAGACTTTAGCGCTCCCAGACCCCTCCAATAACCAAGTCATGCCAAAATAACCTAAAATAAACTCACATGCCATATTCATAAACAGTTCAAAAGGTTGGTGGGCTTGAGTGATAACCAGTTGAGTGCAGCTCCCAGGGAAGGCGCTTGGCAAGCTCACTAGTCCCCGGTGTGCCTAGGCTGCTTCTTGAAGGGCTTGCTGCGGAACAAAGGCTAGCCACCAATTTTGCTCTTTCCTTTTTATCCATAAAAGCGAAAATCCTCAGTTAGTGAAAGCACTCATATAGGCCTTTCAAAAAAGCAAAGTGGCAGTGGGGTGAACTTGAGAAATGTTGGGATCCCTTTATCTCTGCTTTAGGTTGTGACTGTATAGGTGCCCACTTGGAACCCCTCCAGAGATGCCAAAGAAGAAAGGCCTGGAGACCTGGTCCCTAAGATTGCAGCCATGGAAACTGGGATGTGGGGTTTCTCTGAGTTGGAGGATGGTTGGTTGCCTTTGTTCTTATTTTCCATCGAATAACTATTTTCATTTCACACACATGAACTTGTAAGATGATAGCAGATCATAGTATACATTCTTCTCCACCTTCTACTTTTGGATTATGTACTTACTGTCATAAAAGTAATTTTCCACTGGTTGTCTGCAACACCTCAATTAAAATTTCCTAGATAGCTTTTCTTTTGTTAAGAGCCTTGACCTGAATAATTTGCAAAGTTACAATCTGCTGATCAAAATACACTATGTCCATAACAATAGCATGTAAGTGCAGGTTTAAAAATATATTCTTCAAATCCAATGTATTTTTAAGTAGTGATTAACTAGCCGACCCACAGGTGTTTTGCTTTACAAGGATCACAACAAGCAAGCTTGATGTAGTCTGTCCTTTGCTGTCTAAGCTCTATTTCTCAAACTGATCTTCGTATTCACAGAGTTCTGTGACCTGTTTGGATCTAAGAAATGTAAGGAGGAGCTTCATGGTCCTCGACTTTTCCCGACACAATAGTTCATCCTGATTTACCAGTTCTGACTGAGTGGGTGAGCAGGGAAAACTGCAGAGCTCATCTGAAAATTTTTAACTGATTCATGCCCTGGTGGCAAAGGGAAGTTGCTTAAGGGGATTGCCATTGCTCAAAAGTACTGATGATGAAAAGTACTCTTCCATAGTCTGACCTAGAAAAGAACATTGAAAACTGAATCCTGAAGCAAAAGAAACTCCAGTTAGGTTGCGAGCAGCCTGACATCCAGGGGAAAGTGCTTATTTTCTGTCAACATAGTAGTTTGATTTCAAAATGGCAAGGGTCATGGGCACATTAAGGAGCCCTGGTGGCATAGTGGTTATGAGTTTTGCTGCTAACCATAAGGTTAGCAGTTCAAAACCACCAGCCGCCCTGTGGAAGCAAGTGGGGACTTTCTATTCTTGTAAGGAAACCCTCAGGGGCAGTTCAACCCCATCCTATGGCGGGGTATTGACTCATACCCTCAGGGACACTATGGTATCTGACTTATAGTCAGTCATATGAGTTGGCATGCACTGGATGGCAGCGAGTCTGGTTTTGAAACAACAATTTTACTCTGAGCCAAAGAAGACATCTGAGAAGTGGCACTGTCAATTTGCTAAGTTGTCCAGTGCATGGCCAGTAAAGTCTTTGTATTGTCCATCAGCAATAGATAATTTTCTCTATTTTATTATATGCTATGTACGTACAAAAAGTGAACCCTTGATGCATCCGTGGGAACTATTATAGATTAATATCTTTATTATCCCTATTGACAATATATTCAAATCTATTTATTAGGTAGGAGGTTTGTTGCAAATAGAGGTAAAGTTTGGAAAAATGCTCATTCTTTAACCTATTTCTATCACTTATTTATTTGCTGGTAAAAATACACACAGCAAAACATAAACCAATCCATCATGTCTAAATGTGCAGTTCGCAGACATCGGTAACGTTCTTCCTGCTGTGTCACCTTCCTCACCATCTCTCCCCACATTGATACCGCTTTGAGTCGGTATGGACTTGACAGCACTGGCTTGGTTTGGTCCTCTAAACGTTTCATCTAGACTTTAAAATTGCTATTGTCAATTTGGTCTCACATAGATAACTCTATGAAGGTACTCGATATCCAAGGCACCATCGTTGACTAACTGAGCTAGGCTGTCTCAGGATGTAAGGAAGCCTGGAAGTGACAAATCTTTGGTGGTGCTGTGACTTAAGCATTGCGCTTCTAACTACACCTGTGGCAAAATTGACCCCCGTCCTATGAATTTTTAAGGCTATGATGTAAACTTTATTACCATTGAGTCAATGCATACACGTTGGGCTGTGATCCACTGGGTCAGCAGTTTGAAATCACCAACAGTTCTGCAGGAGAAAGACTAGGTTTTCTGCTCCTGTAAAGAGTTACAGTCTTGGAAACACACAGGAGAAACACACAGTCATCATTGAATGGCAGCAAATTGAAACATTGTACAGATTCTGTACAGTATAATAGTGTAAATCCATACATACTATGCAAGAGACTAAATGTCTTACTGAAGGAAATATAGTAAAGAATCTTTCATGGAGAAAAACTGCTTAAAAGTATTTTCATTTTATAAATTTTTTTTGGGGGGGTGAGCATTAA